TATTTTTTTAATTTTAGTTTTAAGTTTAGTTTTTGTTTTTAACTGATATGGTCCTAACTAATATAACGCCTACTTTCCTCAGCCATCCAGCCCATTCACAAGTATTCACCACTTGGTATCCATACAGCCCTTTCACATCAATACTCTAAAAGATCACGTATTAGTTGTTCTATTAAAATGCGCCATTAACTCTGCTGTTTCACATCCTATTTTATTCTCAGCATCAAATAATAAATGGACAGATTAGGCCTGTAGGTTGTTTTTTTTTTTTTTTATTTTATCCAACCATAATTCTGTTAAATAACACTTCATCATCACTTCTTTCCTATCCATTTGTAAATTGTCACGTTATACATTGACCATTAGTCAAAAACACTGCCCAAACAATTAATCTTTCAATTAATCTTCAATTAGCTATACCAATTTTTTTTTATCCGCCATGAGAAAAAAATGCTGATGTAGAGCAGACTAGAGGAGTATGTAGGTCTCTGCACTCCAGCTGTCCTGAAAATGATGATTATACACTACAAATGACTTTTCAATAATGTGCTTTCAGATTCTATGGGCTAAATTGCAATGCTAGCATAAACATTTGCAACATAATCTTTTTCCCCCACCTACTGGGCTCTGGAGATTCGATGCATCTGGTTGCCATGTCCCATCCTCAGCAGCTATAATTTATAAAGTGCATATTTCAACAAAAGCAAAATACGAATCACACGGCCTATGACTTTCACCCCCTCCATCATCCTCACTTGTATTGAAATCTGATTTTAATTTTAAATGGAAGCTTCGGTATATCTTGACAGCTTATATAAAAATCTTAAAATAATTAAACAAAAATATAGCACGAATATTTAAATACAAAATCAGTAGGCTCACATTCCGGTATAGCAGGAGGCCTGTGGGGGAGTAGGTGTCAAGAACTTCAAATACCATTCCAATCCCCCTTTTTTGTGAGTTATTTACATGCCCTAATGTGTAAGGTCTGGGTTTCAGATGGGCTATTTAATCAGGAAAATATGTGAATGACAATAATTTAAAGGGCAAGCTATATATATCGAATTTGCAAAATAGGGTTACGACAGTATCTAACAAACTATACTGATTTAAGTAAAACTATCTTTTAAGTTGAACAGAAACTCCCGTTTTTATTTCTTAACACCGTAGGACCCAATGTTATTCTTCGGGGGTCATCATAATTTGATAACTACAAGCCTTACGAAAGCATGGATTGTTTAATCTTGCAAACTCTATTAAGCCATGTAGATCCTAATTTAGTGTGTCTTTCCATTTTGAAAATAAGATCCGTAAAAAACTGTTTGTTACGATGGCATAGAACATCATTGGTTTTTAAAAGAACTTAAGCTCAGCTTCCTCTGCTTTTGAGAAATGGCAGTGTTTATATTTGGTTCAAAAACACGCCTCTAAAGGATGTTGGACAGACAGCCACTAGAACTTCATCCTTCTTCCGATCGTTTGATTTTCAAATGACTTAATGCTTGGCATTTAACACACAGAATGATGATGCAGAATGTGACTCATGCTTCTCATACGGAAGCATCAGATTCGATGCTTGTCAATCAGAAGCATTGGATTGTTGCATTCCAGTGATTTCCACACACAACACATATGCGAGAATCATGTGATTGGACCAATGTTGATTAGAATTAATGATCTCACCACAGGTGGAGAAAGCTGCAGTTCGGAGATGGACATGGTGCTGGATTACAGACACTTTCTGCAACTTTCACATTTTTTTTGATCCCATTATCTAAATCTAAAGAATTAACACATCGAGCGTGAAAAACACATTTACTTTATAATGTTTATTCATAAATACCGAAGTGCATTCAATTAAAATCTGAATTGAAAATTGAGGCCAAAATAACCAAGTCTCTGGAATTTTTTTCCCAAATCATACTTGGATAAATTTTGATTTCAATTTGCTACAATTTGGAGTTTAGTGAATAAACCCGTCGTAATAAAAGATCAAAGAGTATACGGTTAGTGGGCTTTACGGGGTAATCCTCAGCCATTTTATGGCATGATTATCTATAAATAAAGATTAAATCAAAGTTATATGCGGTTTTAAAATCCCAGTGTTCAACAGGTATAACAATAGTAGACACAATATTGTTACTCTTTCCCCCATAATATAAGCAGCAGTTCTTACATGGGGCAATTGTATTCTCGTCTGCTGCTGAACAAGAAGCCAACCAAATTAGAACTCAACTTTTTAAAATCCTTGCTTCACTATGAACTCTCCCAGGCTCCACCGTCCTCTTCTGACAGATTCTCTTCAAGTGTCAGAAGCCAATATCACTGCTGTACTCTCCTGCTTGCACTAGAGTATAGCATTGAGATCTATGGAGAATCCTGCAAGATCCTCCATAAACACAGCTAATATCTGTGCAGTTGTCATTGGTGACGGCAGGGAGATTGATATTTCTAGATGGTGGTAACTCAGCCCAGTGTCTAGAAGTGGCAGGTGTAGGAAATATACTTTGTCTCTTTATATCTTTTGACTGGGTTGGAATTTCAGTAACATTCCAGTCAGTTTGAGTATTTCATAAATATTTTAACTTTCCGGGGGCGTGGTTTGGCGCGCGGGCAAGATGGCTGCTTGAGACCGCGCTCCTAATACTGGGTCCCTTTTAACGCAGCTAACAGCTACCTACCTGGTCCAGATGGGCCGCACACGCAAGTCCTGTCCCCACCAGCCACCGCGCAGCACTCAGACACCTTTCCGGGCCAGACCGATGGACGAGTTCCTGTCCACACCGGCAGAGCTCGCGGGAACCGCGGCCACACACCACGTGGAAGTCTCTTCGGAGCCTGACAGCCCCGGACCCTCCAAGCTCACAGGCAATGTTCACCAAGGCGGACGCAGGGGCTCTGGAGACCTCCCTTAAAGGTACCATATGTGCAGAACTGGCAGGGATCAGTCAGGATGTCACTTCCCTTCAGGCCAGGGTGACCACACTAGAGGCAGCCACAAGGCAGGGAAACATGCTGCTGGATGCAGGTAGAAGACCTGGACAATAGGGGCAGGAGAAGCAATATTAGGATCCGTTGCCTACCTGACAGCGTGCAGGGGGAGCTGCTTGAGAGCACGCTGCAAGCACTCTTCAATTTTATCCTGGGAAATGATGACCCAGAGACCTTCCAATTGGACTGCGCACACAGGACTCTCCGCCAACCCAGGTCAGATGGCACGCCCCGGGATGTAATTTGCTGCCTACACTCGTTCCAACAAAAAGAAGGTATAATGAGCCAGGCCAGAGATTGCCAGATATGGCAATTCCGCAATGCAGTGGTCAGTTTCTATCAAGACCTGTCTCCGCTCAGTCTGGATGCCCAGCGGGCACTATGCCCTATTACGAGTCTCCTTTGCAACCTCAACCTGACGTACCTGTGGGGCTTCCCCTTCTGCCTACATGCAAGGTCCGGCGAAGCCTGGGCCACCATTAAGACGCCAGAAGATGTGCCGGGGTTCCTCGGGGCCCTTGAGCTACCCCACACGACAGTTCAAAACTGGATCCTACACCCAACCACCCTGCCGCCCGGAGAACAATGAGCACGCCCACGTCAGCCCCATGCGCCCCACTCACCTTCCGCCACAGTTGGCCAGACCACGCCACACAGATCAGAGGAATGAGAGCACTGAGTTTCACCTAGGAGCTGTGAACCAAGTTACCAAGTCACAGGTTTGGGGGTTGTTTGTTGGTTGGTGGTGTGCTTTGGGGGGGTGGAGGGTATGTTGGGGACTGCTGCCACACTGGTGACATTCAAGCCTACTTTCCAGACCCATGAGTCGGTGCAGTCGTTACACCTATACCCCTATGTACATGTAATTTAGTGGCTATCCGGGACGCGGGGTCTGGGAACCTGCTCCAGGGACACTACTAGGGGTCTAGCTACAACACAGTCCTTTTTGGGGTCTCTGGACTTCTAGTTTTGTGTGGCCGGGGCCTCTGGAATGGCTAAGCGGGATTTGGGGTGGGGGCAACAGTCCGCCTGCTGAGGGGAGACTGGGTGCCGATGGGGGTGTCCCTGATGGGGGTGTCCCTGATGGGGGTGGAGAGGGGTGTCTCACCCAAAGTGCCTACTACATTTGTAAATATTGTACTTTCTTCCCTGCTCCCTCTGGGCGCTTCCTCCTTTCAACTGTTTCTTTTCCCCTCTTTGTCTACCCCTCCTCTATCCCTCTTCCTTATTCCAACTCATCTCCACAGGTCTGGAACATGGCGCCCCCGGCCTTCGCGTCGCTCCCGCTACACGTCTGCACACTCAACGCGCGGAGCCTCAATGTCCCCCAACGCCGCTCCAGATTGCTGAGGGAACTGTGGTCTTTCCGGACGTCAGTTGCAATGATACAGGAGACATACTTTAAGCTGGGTTTAGAACCAGTGCTGAAAGACAGGAGGTTCCCTACTGGCTACTTCGCTTCACACTCTCTGGGCAAAAAGGGCAGCGTGGCAATACTGTTCTCACAAGGGACCCCGTTCGTCCTCATAGATCGTGAGACGGACCCTGAGGGACAATACCTTTTTGTGAAAGGGCGTAACAACTCACAGTTTTACACTTTCGCCATGATATATGCCCCCAACACATATTCATCACAAAGACGCTGCGGCTGCTAGCAAATTTCTCAGAAGGGCTGTTGATATTGGGAGGTGACCTCAACGTGTCATTAGACCCTTCCATGGACACGTCAAGGGGAAGGATGTATCAAGAAAGCCTTGCGGACTTTACACTTAGTAGACTGCTGGAGGACTCTCCATCCGGAGACAAGGGACTACTCATATTATTTGGCGGTGCATGGATCGTACACTAGAATAGACTACCTCTTTCTCCCCCAAACTTACTTGACCTTACTCCAAGACTCGACCATCGGACACATCACATGGTCTGACCATGCACCGGTGTCACTCCTGATGGCCTCCCCCCTTTTCAAACCGAGGGAGCGAACATGGCGCCTGAATGAGTCATTACTGATGGACGATGAAGTCCGGACCACGGTTCGAGAAACCTTGACTAACTACTTCAAGGAAAACACCCATCCAGACACTGGCCGGACTACTATATGGGAGGCCCACAAGAGTGTGATCCGAGGGGTTCTCATCTCCATAGGAGCGCACAAGAAGAAAGTCGGGGCGGAACGAATACGGAACATCCTGGACGGGATTGCGACCGTGGAACTACGTCACAAACTAAACTTCAGCGACTTAGACCTACGTGAGCTCCTCGCGCTTAGGAAGGACCTGGCAACACTCATCACTCAACAACACTTCTCCATGCTACAAAAATCCAGGCGATTCTTTTACGAACATTCCAATAAGTGTGGGCGCCTTCTGGCAAAAATGCTCAAAAAACGTCGAGGGAGGTTCCACATACATAAACTCCGCGTAGGGCCCACACGTCACTCCGAACATCCGCCTGAAATGGCAGAACTATTCCACGCCTACTACACGGAGCTCTATAATATCTCCGAAGTTGCGGTACCGGCACTCCATCTCCAGACAGCTTGGAGGAGATGGAGGCGTACCTCTCGACCCACGTACACAAGAAAATCTCACTGGATGTGGCATCCACTCTAGATCAGGAAATCACCATAGAAGAGCTCCAGGGGGGCAATTAAGTCCTCCAAAACGGGAAGGACACCTGGCCCGGATGGCCTCCCATTGCAATAATACCAAACATTTGGAGACGTCCTTCTACCACCGCTGACGGCCTCATTTAACTTGCTCTTACAAAACGGCAGACTTGGAAAGGAATCGCTCATGGCTCATATCACCATTCTACCCAAAGAAGGCAAAGATCCTGAACAATGAGCCAGCTATCGACCGATTTCTTTACTCAACTCCGACTGCAAAGTGCTAGCCAAGATACTTGCGACCCGTTTGAAGACAATCCTCCCATCTCTGATATATCCAGATCAAAGTGGGTTCATACCGGGAAGGGAAGCAAAGGACAACTCCATTAGGCTCCTCAACCTTACGCACTTAGCTACCACTTCACGCCGTCCCCTGGTCATACTCTCAACAGACGCAGAAAAGGCGTTTGACCGGGTGTACTGGCGATACACGTCTAGCACACTACAGAAGATGGGCTTTGGGGAACCCTTCTGCAAGTGGATCGGGGCTCTTTACTCTGAACCAATGGCTAGAGTGCGTGTGAACGGGGGCCTCTCCACGCCAGTATGAATTACGAATGGGACGCGGCAGGGATGCCCACTCTCCCCCATACTATTTGTCCTCACGCTGGAGCCTTTTCTATCTGTACTTTGATTCAACCCCTCGATCCATGGAATCCGATTTGCAGGGGTGGAGCATAAGGTCTCGGCCTACACAGATGACCTTTTGTTCTACCACGAATCTCCCTCCCGAACATTATAGCCGAATTCAAAATTTACGGAAACATTAGCAATTTCAAACTCAATCTGGACAAGTCAGAGGTGCTTAATGTCACGGTTCCAACACGAGATCTAGACGACCTAAAGACACACTTTCCCTTTCGCTGGTGCACAGACCGCATCAAATACCTTGGGATCTGGGTCCCTAAGAACTTACACCAGCTGTACCAAGTGAACTTCCAACCCCTGCTCTCCCGCCTCTCAACGGATATGAAATCGTGGACTACACCACATTTTTCATGGACTTTGACGCATCAGTTCCATCAAGATGAATATTCTCCCTAGAATCCTATACCTTTTCCAGACCATCCCGATCGCCCTCCCACACACCTTTTTCCGATCCCTTAATTCTGACAAAATTCATATGGAAGGGGCGCAGACCACCTATACGACTAGCGCACCTGATGAGGTCAAAGGAGATAGGGGCACTTAGTCTACCAGACATTGTCGGTTCTTACAAAGCCACACATTTGGCGAGAATTGAAGCCTGGCATGAAACTGACTCACAGAGGATCTGGACAACGCTGGAGAGAGATGCTTCGAAGGGGGTATCCCAGGAGCGGTGTGACTGCCGGACGACACAGCCAAAAAATTGACACGCGAACAACCCTTTATTGGGGCGACTCTGAAGGTTTGGTTCCGGACGCGCTTTCGGCTCTCCCTAACAACGCTAACCGGCACGATGCACCCAGTCACAGGCAACCCGACGTTTCCGGTTGGACAAGATGTGAGGGCCCTGGGGTTTCTGGGAAAGGGGACAACACATACGTCTCTTGGAGCTGTGTAGGGGCAGAGCTCTGATACCTCTGCGGGAATTCTTACAAGACCGCGAACCAACTATACTAGAGCAATTTCGGTACCACCAGCTGATCCACTTTCGAGAGTCGGTTGCCCACCAATTACAGCTTACGAGACCTCTGCTCCCTTTCGAGGAGATTTGCTCAAAAGGGGAAGGCCTCCATCGTAGTATATCAGTCCTCTACACACTCCTGCAGCAGGCGGATGCGGCCCCTCCTATGAAGTACCAGGCGCATTGGGAAGAGGCATTACACACCCCGTATACTCCACCCGAATGGGACAAGATGGCCTTGTGCACAGCCCTCAGCTCATGATGTGCCAAATATCAGGAAATCAACTACAAAATACTCAGTGGTACGACACACCACAGAAGATCCATAAATATCAACCGGAAACCCCTGAACACTGCTGGAGATGCAGGACGGAGGTGGGCACTCTCCTTCACATTTTCTGGGCATGCCCACTCATAAAACCGTACTGGGAACAAATATACGAGGCAATGCAGGTGACTGAGGAGGAGGTTGCCTTTGACCTGGCAGATATCCTACTCAACACAACAGACCTACCCATATCGAGGTATAAGAAAACGGTGTCCCGACACCTCCTAACGGCAGGAAAATCACTGATCCCAGCACTGTGGCGACAGAAACAGCTGCCGACGTTCCAAGCCTGACTCCAGAGAGTGGAAGAGATCAGACAAGTGGAAGCCGAAATAGCGGTGGTAAGTGGAAGGCTGGAGAAACACGAAGAGATCTGGATGTACTACCTGTGCAACCGGGACAAGTCTGGAAACCAACCCGCTGGGTAAGGGGAGGAGTGGAGGACCTGGGAACGCTAGTGGCATGATGGGCGGGGGCGGCCTGCGGGACCGAGCGTTCCAACCCAGCCTGTTCCTCACCCCCTTCCCTTCTCTCTATCACTAATTTCACTGTGCCTCTCCCCTCTATCTCTTCCTTCACGTACGTACAGCGGAACTTACCTAATGACCCTACCTAATAGGGTACATCCGCCTTTTTGATATATCAATCCATGGCTGACACTCTGATAGTGACAATCCGACCAATGGTACCAGCACGGCATCTCACTCCTCCTTCAGGCGCCTAAAGTACAGGGGGTGAGGTACGCCTCGGACACATAGTGGGGACTCTATCTCAGGGTGTGTAAATTGGGTTAGACAGATCCATAACACCCCTCAGCGGCATATGACATAGGACAGACAATAGGTAGAGAGAACAGACGAGTTAATACAGAAGAAGATTGGCTACTCACATGACCCGCACTACACCGGGACACCTGACACACGCTACAAACAAACACAGGGAAAAGGAAGGGAGAGCCCTGGGATGTAAGACAGAGACACAGAGGCTGAAATATAGGACTGTAAACACCTCCATACCCCCTAGACCCTCCAAAGGAGGCGCAGTAAACCGTAGCGAATTAAACAACTACGGGTCATGCAAAATTAAGTCCAACCACCAACGCATGTAAATACCTAGCCACCTAACCCCTGATGTGTACACTTATATGGGGGTAACAGCCTGAAGGATGTATTCACTCGAACTTAGGTACCTTAATGTGTTGTTTAAATGCTATTCTATTTCTACTTTCTGTACCACTTAATACTTTGAAAAATACTTTGAAAAATATTCAAAAAATAATAAACAAAAATTTACAAAATACTAATTTTGCAGGGCGTGTGTGGCAGTGCCACTTTAATTCTGTTGACATCCAGACAATCAGTGTTGGTCTCTAAAATGAGAATTCAAAGTGAATTTTAAATTTATGACCAAATACCCAAACTGGAAACAGTCTATATGTCAGCTATGCTTCCAGTTTGGCTAATTAAATTTGAAATTAACTTTGAGTTCATACTTTAGTGAAGAACCCCAAATAAAAATGATGTTCCAGCACAGATTTAGGAAGTGGAGAGAAATGTTTCCTTAAGTCTTTGAATATGCTTTAAGCTTAATAGGATTTAAAAGCTGCAACAGAACCTTGGATTTTGTCTTTTACTGTTTTAAAATAAGCTATAGAAAATTAGGAGGAATGTGGAAGGCCTTATGAGAACACCAAGCACCATAACCACTACTGCTTGTACAAGTCCAGCTTATTCCAGCCTGTTTTTGTGGTCAAACCATAACCACTACAAACAGCTGTGCTGACTACTGTGTGTAAAGCAAGGTATCTTCATTTAATCTTTTTTCCTGGTTTCCAGAACCAGTTGTGTAGTTGCTGTTTTAACGACTGTCTAAAACGGTTTCAGATCCTCATATCGCCAAGATAGAAACAATGAGAGTTTGAGTGGGCGACTGCTCACTTCCAGAACACAACTTTCATGATATGCATAAGTTAACAGCAGTTACCACCCACAAACTACAAAAAAACAGCATCAAGAGAGACCGTGCTCCTTCTACCAGAACAGCAGCAGACTCTCCTGGATAGAATAAGAGTATCATTCTGTCTTAGTCAGCTTGTGTACAAGAAGATATAGGGGAATATGGGGATAATACCAGGCTGTTAGAAGGGTTTTCAAGTGGAGCAACAGTTGTCTTCTAGGTTGTAAGACCAGAGTGAGAAAACTAGTCATTAAGCAGAAAAGCACCGTTTAATCATTCAGTTTCATCCCCCCAAAATAAAAACCGTTTAAAGCACCTCTACCCACAAAGCTAAAACAAACAAAAGAATGAAAAACAGTTGCTAGTGAGTTTGATGAGCATCTGCATATTAGCAATGATAAATGAAACTTGTTCATATTTGGCTACTCGGGTTTAATACAATATGAACCATTTTTTAAATCACTTCCTTGTGGATTTCTGGTTAGTAGCCATGTCATATTACAATATAGATCAAAGTGTAAATATAAAAACGTATTCAGAAAAGCCAATAAATAAATGTATTTAAAACATTTAATTATCAGAAAAAGGCACATACACAAAATGTATCTAGTGTATTTAACTCAGACAGGCATTTTGGATTTTGTTGCAAGGTAGCAAATTCAAAATTGTTAATTAGCAGCGGCAAATATTCACTCCAGATGAATACTTTATTAAGCAATTCATGGTACAGGTTCCACTTTGCTTTGAGCCATGGCTGGTTGGAAGCATTTTTTTAGAATAAGAATTGTATATAGATAAGTGCTTGCATACACATGCTATGAGATGTGAATTTCTCAAAAAAGTTATCATTTTCAACAACGCCCCCACCCCAAAAAAAAAAAAAAAAAAATATATATATCAAAAACAAGATGTTCCATGTGTTGTTTAGAACAAGCACATAAACTAATTAACTGCACAGCAGTTTTAATAATGATACACTAGATTTAACAATCTTTTTTGGTTTTAAATATAGACCACTTCAACTTTTTTCCTTCTCAGTCTCCAAGTGTAG